GGGGGGGGCGGCGGGCAGTTCCAAAAGTAGGGTAGAAACCTGAGGGAGAGTGTGATCGGGAGAAAAAACAAGAAAACAGGGCTGCATGTACCCACTGTCTCTATGCTTGCCAGAGTATGTGTTCTAAGAGAAGAGCTACCAGTGGCCCACAACAATGACAGCCCTTGTATAATGATCAGACCCTTATTTTCCCCCACCCTGGGGTGGGGGGGTGGCGAGAGATTCTTGTTTGGGTTTTTAATCTCCCCAAATAGGATCATGCCTGAAAGTCATGACCGTGATCCCCCTGAACATCTGCGTGCATGTTTGGTCGGTTTAAAATGGAGAATACCAAGCATCCTCGTCCTGACCATCAATTTTGTTACTTAAAACGCCACCTCTGCTCATGATCTGTGACCCAGTCCACTTGGTCTGGGTGTACATTTTCCCAGAGATGGAAGTGAACTTCTGACAGGCGTTGTCTCGGGCGGATTCCTAGGCCGGTCTCCATTCGTGGCAGCACATATAATACTCCATTGTTCACACACCAGCGATTCCCTGGCCGTCTCTGAACAAGTGCACTTTGTACGGTTGCTCTTTCATGGCTGTTCATTTTCATTTCCCAGTGCAGAGTGCAGCTCTCCACAGCTTTGTAAAACGTGGATGTTTTTCCTCTTTTGCATTAATCAACTATAGCATATGACCCAGACCCCTTGAATTCTTTGAAATGTCAGGGCACTATGGAATCATTGAAGATCCCTAGTGGCACCCTGGGTTAGGCTTGGGGCTGTTAATCGCAAGGCCCAAACCTGCCACTTAGCCCCTCGGTGGAAGAAAGATGAGGTTGTGTGCTCCTGTGAAGATTGGCAGTCTTGAAAACCCTCTGTAGCAGTGGTGCTTAACCTGTAGGTTGCAACCCTTTTGGGAGTCAAACAACCCTTTCCCAGGGGTCGCTCGATTCACAACAGTAACAAAATGACAGTTATGAAGTAGCAACGAAAATGATTTTGTGGTTGGGTGGTGACCACAACATGAGGAACTGTATGAAAGGGTCACGGCATTAGGAAGGTTGAGAACCACTGCTCTCTAGTGTCCCGATGAGTCAGAATTGACTGAGAGCTGTGAGTTTGGTGTTTGGCTTTATGCTAGAATCATTACTCTAAGGAATACATCCAAAGAACTCCATGTATAAATGCCTTTTCCTTGGCTATGATGTAACTTTTGCCTTTCTTCGCAGCTCTGCAAATCTTCAGAATTAGGAAGGTTTCACAATGTGTGTCTATTGATAAAGTGGAAAACGGAAGTACTCACTTTCTTTGGTCATACATGTTCAGGGCAGTAAGTCATGGAGTGTTTGCTAATCACAGAGATGTATACATTGCTTTCTAACCTGGCTCCTCTAGTCCTAACATTGTAATGTGAAATACAGATGTTATCCAACAATCGTAGTTAGTAAGTAGGATGCTTTATTTCAGGAAAGGCTTGTAACCTTGCAAAGGCCATTCTGAACTCAAAAACGCCACATGCTTGTGCACCACAGGTTCAAGAGTTCCACCAGTTGGAATCCAATCTGCAAGTATGTCAATTTCTGGCTGACACCCGAAAATTTCTCCACCAAATGATCAGGACCATTAACATCAAAGAGGAGGTCCTGATCACAATGCAGATCGTAGGGGACCTCTCCTTCGCCTGGCAACTAATCGACAGGTAACTGTGGCCAGGTGATACACCTGCTGTGTAATGTCCAAGTCCGGCCACGGCAGCCTGCCATTTGCCCTGAGTGAAGGCTGCTACGTACAACTTCTCACCTTTATGTCTCCTCACAGTTTTACCTCCATCATGCAAGAGAGCATACGGGTGAACCCAGCCATGGTTACTAAACTCAGAGCTACGTTCCTGAAGGTAAGACGAGAACTGGGCGGTCACCTGCTTGGTTCCCAGGGAAGCGCTGCTCTCATTCACCAGTTCAGCCCAACCCTGCATCCTCTGGGAAACTTGCGTGCATTTTTGAGCGTTCTTATCTACTGAACATTGTGAGCCATTTGTCCAAAAGACGCCAGAAATGTGTGAATTTCACATTAAGAATTGGAGTTTCCATCCCAGAGGGGTAGAAGACACCTGCTGTCGTCTTATCAGCGTGCTGCTCGGGTTCCTTCCAGGGCCGCCTGCTGCTCCCTGCAGCACCCTTTCACAGCAGATCCGGCCCCATTACCAGGTTCTCCTCAAGCCCTTCCTTATGGTTGGTGACTTGGGTCAGTGGGGTCTCCCGATCTCCACCCACACTGGGGAGCTCCACTGCCCCCTACACTTCTCGTCTATGGCAGGCTTTCTCGCTCGAGCTTTGATCTCTCGGGGAGATCTCCCAGGGAGCACTCCAAAGGATCAGGGGGAACATTCTTGACGCCTGCAGCCCAAGGGTTGTTTAAAGGCGACTGAAGGAGGTCAGTGGAGTTCATGCCCATCTTTATTGAGACCATCCTGCTCACTCGGGGCTACGCTGAGGCCAAGGAGCAGTGGTGAACAATACAGCCCTGGGCCCTGCCCTCAAGGTAGCTTCAGGTGGCAACCAATGAACACAGAGCTTATCACTGTCTTAGAATTACCAAGACGGAAATGGACCTTTTTTCACATTTCAGAGTGTCCGCCATCGGCAATGGGCTTGATAGTTGATGACCTACTGTAGTTCAGTTATCTTGTTTGTTGTTGTGTTCACTTGCTTAGTGGTGCAGGAACTCATGGCATATCTTGCACGGGAGTCCATCAACCGAAAAGTCTGGCCACACAGAGGAGTGGTTCTTCTTGCACAGCACGGGACTCTCAGCCTTAAGCCTGCAGCAGAAACACCAGGAGGCCTTGTGTAAACACAGAAGGCCAGGTTCCAGGCCCAGAGTTTCTGACTGCGGTTCTACCCGGCTCCCAACTGCTACTGATACAGCCGTCCTGGGGTCCAGACTTTGCGAACCACCGCCATAGCAGAGAGGGAGAAAGACGGGGCGGGCTTTCTACTCCTGTAAACAATTACGGTCTTGGAAACTCAAAAGGGTACCCTGTACTCTGGGGTGGCTGTGAGTCAACATTGACTGAGATCAGTGAGTGTTTGGAGTTGGCCATAGCAGATGACCATGCTCCGTTTCTTTTTAATGACATCGCTGTCCTCTGATGTGAAGGTAGAGGGCATTCATGATGCTGATGCGATCCAAGAGTCCCTGACCCCTGTTGGACAGGGCCCAAGAGCTTTGTTGTTGATGGCCCCCTGGAAAGGGACGGGGGAGTTTCTCAGCCTCTTAGAAACAGAAATCCTGTGTGTCTTTCAGCTTGCCTCTGCCCTTGACCTGCCCCTTCTTCGCATCAACCAAGCCAACAGCCCCGACCTTCTCAGCGTGTCTCAGTATTACTCTGGTGAACTGGTGTCCTATGTGCGAAAGGTGAGGCACATAGCAAGGCGCTTACGGACTGAGTATCGTTGGATAAATGAAAGATTTGCTGGGGGCCCTGTGAGGATAGTCCTGTGTCCCTGCCCTTATTTTTCACTTGATTGCTGAAATGTGCAGCACCTGCAGGTAAGCTTCCTCTTCCTGCTACTAGGTATGCACAGGTGTGCTTTTCACTTTCAAAGAAGTCCTCGGGCTGCGTGTGAAATGCTGGTAGGACCCAGGCCCAGGTTCTGGATGTGGGACTCGAGGGACAGCCAGTGTGGTGGCTCCATAAAGTCACAGAGCTCTTTGGTGGAAGAGACAGCTCTAGACGGAGCTGAGCCTCGTCACAACCGGATGAGCATTTGCTTGGGAGCGTCAGTCCATGTTTTAATAGACGCTGACCACCACGGAGTCCAGCAGTTCTGGGTTCAAAGTCTACCTGTGTCACCTCCTAAGTGAGTGATCCAAGTTGTGTTAGCATCTCTGGACCACAGTCTTAAAGTCTGGGATGGGGGATGAGGCATTTTCTGGCAGCACCGTGGGTAAGTTCCTAATGTTTGAAGGAACTTGGCCTTGTTCATGGTGGGTGTCATTTGCTGTCCAGCCCACTGGAACTCGTGGTTCCATGACCTTCCATGAGACCACAGGAAGCACTGCCTAGTCCTGAGTCAGCTGAATGATCCCTCCATCCGGGAACCTGACAGCTGTGCGCAGCAGTAGTTCTTAAAACAACAAGGTTTTTAAGTTTCCCCGCATCCCTTCCCGTGGGAAAGTGCTGTTTGTAAATGCTGATACCCTTCATCCTAATCCTCCTCCTGCCTCTGTTTTGAAAGGTTTTGCAGATCATTCCAGAAAGCATGTTTACGTCTCTTCTGAAGATCATAAAGCTTCAGACCCACGATATCATCGAGGTGCCAACCCGCCTGGACAAAGACAAGCTGAGAGATTATGCCCAGCTGGGCTCACGATACGAGGTGCTGTGTCCTCAGCACTTGAGCCTTTTGATCCTTAAAATTAAAACCATGTAATGTCGCAGGGCCAAGGGGGCCTTGAAAGGCCATGCTCTGCCTGGCTCACTCTGTCCTCGTGGTCTCAGGACCAGTGCAGATCCGTTTTCACAGGCTCAGCGTTGACCATTTCAGTCCCACCGTGCCTTGCTCCTCTGGTGTCATTGAGCGACTGGCTCGCTATCCAGTGGAAGTGGAGCTCCACTCCTCACGTTCCTCTTGAGCAGTTTTGATGAATCGACCCTTCTTCTCTTTAGACTAACATCCCTCAACTTTCAACGTTCACGGGGCACAAAGTAATCCATATCCCGTTCACCACTTCCTGTAGCCTGACTTGAAATCCTCCTCCCACCTCAGGGCGGTTCTCCCCACATTCCTCAGCTTTTCTCTCTGTCTGAGCTTAGAATTAAAGCTGGGAAAAGTCAACCCAAGTCAAAGGTGAAGAAGCCATGCCAGTGTCCGTTTCTCTCTGGTACAGGTCCATAAAGTACGTCAAAAACTTAGATGGCCAACCTTGGTGTCTTCCATTTATTCAGACCCGAAAATGTCGCCCCTTGTTACCAATGCCGCGTGCTGTTGCTTGACAAGAGGGTGAGGGACAGGGAAGGGACAGTTACCTTCAGTAGTCTCAGTAGTCATCCTTTGGTAGCTGGATGGGCCCGTCTGTCTGGATGAGAGAGCCTGGAGCCCAAGGAAGAGGAAAGCCTGTCAACGTTTACGGAGCTGATGGCTGTCTGCTCACTGAGGTGCCTGACCTGTTGGAGAGTCGCGTTTCTGTCTGAGACTTGAATGTGCATGCGTCTTGAAGCCCGCCCCGCCTCAGTTCTCCTCTCTCTGACCACTCCAGGGCCCCACCTCAAATGCACTGCCACTCCCAGAAACACTGCCTGGTAGGGTAAACCTCCCTTCCCAAGACTGTAACTCCTGACGGGCACAGGAAGCCTCCTCTTTCTCCCGCAGAAGAGATGATGGTTTCGACCTGCTGACCGTGGAGTCAGCAGCCCAACTCACAACTCACGAAGCCACTAGGGCTCCTGACTCCTGGGCTTGTAAGCAGCTCTTTCCGCTTCCACGAAACAATGGGTCCTTTGCTGGAAGTACTTCCTTATGCCTCTCTTTCTTTGTTAAAGGTCGCCAAGCTCACTCATGCTATTTCCATTTTCACTGAAGGCATTCTGATGATGAAAACCACGCTGGTCGGCATCATCAAGGTAATCCTTCCCACGCTCGTCTGCGCGGCCAAGTCTTGTGGGTGTGGGGTGCTCGCCCGTCATTCTCCACGCCTAAGAGCACGCAGGACAGTCGAACTGCCCTTGAGGTGTCCCTGCCCGGGGTGATTTCTTGACGGGAATCTTTACAAGAGCAGATCATTGGTCTTCTTTCTCCCCTTGAACCTCTGGGTGGGTTCGAACCATCAACCTTGCCGGGAAAAACTAGGCACTTAACCACATGTACCATTATTACAATTTTCTTAAGTTTAAAGATCATCAAAAGCCGATAAAACCTATCAATTATCTCCTTTATGGCTTTTTAAAATAATGGGCTGTTTGTTTTTATTTACAATTGGAAAGTAAAAGAAACACATCTCAGGGAACTCAGGGACACGTGGTAAAACGATTTGCTGGTTCCCAACGTCTCTTAGTGAATCGAGAAGAGCTTTCGCATTCCAGGAAAACGTCATCAGCAAGTGAAGCTTGTCGAGCAGGCGGTAGATGTGCTTGTGTCTTCTTCGTCTTGCCACTGCACACAGCCAGCACGTGAACAACACTGCCAGCAAAGAGCGCTGCTAAAACCGCAGCGTGACCAGCGCTAGCCTTGACTCTCCTCATGTGGACATCCATCTCTTGAGGTGTCACTTGGAGGCGTGACACGCAGCTGAATTCAGCTTTCCTTTCTACCGCCTGCTCCTAGTGATAAGGAAAGGCACTTGCTAGTTTTAATGAAGTGATAAAAACATGGGGCCGTATCAAATTTTCCCTACCGCCCCCAAGCCCCTCGTCTTCAGAACGTTCAATTGGAAAGCTGTCATGAATTCTAGCGAGGTGCCGTGAGGCCTAAAAGAGGGAAGAGGCTGACTAAGGCTGCCCCACGTTGCCCTGGTCAAAGGGAGTAGGAAAGGCATAAAATCCAAACCATTTGGAGGGTCCCTTGTGGCTTCTGGACACCATGTTTGCCCTGGGTTTAAGATGGAGCTGCCCCTAACACCCTTCCTGCTTTCTGGTTCGCACGTAGGTGGATCCGAAGCAGTTGCTGGAAGATGGAATCAGGAAGGAGCTCGTGAAACGCGTTGCCTTTGCCCTGCACAGGGGCTTGATCTTCAACCCGAGAGCCAAGGTACCAAACAACCCAATGGCTCTCCACTCAGCTACCAGAGAGCACAAGGACACCATTTCACCCTTAGGGGCTCTGCCTTTCCTCAAAGGCATGATTTTCAGTACAACCCACTGACGTGCCTTTCATGGTTCGGAACCAAACGGATGTCCGATTCCGAGCCCCTTCGTATAGTTAGAAGGACGTCGTAGCCAGAAGACAGGAATTCCGAATACTGTGATTGTGCTTGACTTGGTGTGTGAATGCGCTAACTGCATGCAGAGCCGACCATCAGTTTGACTGCCCACAATTCAGACACATTTTGTTCCAGTGCCTCCATCGCAGGGCCTCCTCCCTCGTCCTGCCCCCGCTCCGCTCCCTGTCCTAACTCTTGGGACCTTGCCCTGGGTGCCTTTGGGTGGTGGTGATTATTTTACCACACAAGGGAAAGGAAGCTATGATTTGTACCCTTCTATTAAGGAATATGGTCATTTTTCTCAGAAGGAAAAACGCTTAAGCCTGAGATCAATGTGTAGGGTGCTTTATACCTCAATAAATCCAACTGAGACTGTTCTAAACACTGGCAAACTAGATACGGTCATCAGAGAGCATCATGCTCACCAGTTTTCACACACTTCTATGCGGTTTTCGCCCAGGTGAATGAAATAGATGTTGTGCTGAATCTCCTCCCTCCGTTGCTAGGCAGACGAGGAGTAGTTTGTTGCTCTCTGAGCCGCGGCACTGCTCTCGTGTTTGCTGTAGCATTTAAAGTCTAAGGACTGGATTCGTGGATGACAGTCTACCCCAACATAATAGAATGACTTCACCCTCTTGTACAGCCAAGTGAATTGATGCCCAAGCTGAAGGAGCTGGGGGCTACCATGGATGGATTCCATCGTTCTTTCGAATACATCCAGGACTATGTCAACATTTACGGCCTCAAGATCTGGCAGGAAGAAGTGTCTCGCATTATAAATTACAACGTGGAGCAAGAGTGTAATAACTTCTTAAGAACAAAGGTATCGTATCAAAATGATTTTTTTTTTTTTTTTAGTACCTGCCCAATTTGGTTCTTCTCTGACATTTAAAATACAGCCCCCAAACTTCTGGAGCACCATAAAGAACATTTACTGAAGCAGCTTCTTAAAATCAGCATGGTTGGATGGTCACGGTTACCTGGGGAAGTCCCTTCAGAGGAGGGGGCATGTAGAAAGGTGGTCAGGCCCTGGGGAACTTGCTCTCCTAAGGAGAAAGCTGGGACGGTTGCCATGAAGTTCTCCCGGGCTCACAGTGAGCCCTGAGGAGAAAAGAACTGCCCATGGGGTTCCCTGGGCTGCCCGCTCCGCAGAAGCACAGGTCCTGGTTTACGTGCCCATGGAGCGGGGTGATGGCAGCTGGGCTCGGCCGTCACGCTTCGAGCGCCCTTACTCCCTCCTTCAGAAGGGAATTCACATACAAGGGGTACCCCAAAAAAAACCAAAACGGAATTTTTTTTCAAACTTACGTATTTAAATTTTGTTTACAAAACAACCTTATCACCTTCAAAGTACTCTCATGACACTTAATACATTTATCAAATCTGCGATTCCATTCTTGGGAACACTTTTCAAACTCATCTGTTTGGCTGACAGCACCTCCTCGTTTTTTTTCTTCACCTCTTCTACGCCATCAAATCGCTGTCCTTCCACCTCCCACTTACTTCGAGGAAACAAAAAGTAGTTGCACAGAGCGAGTTCAGGTGGGAAAGGTGTGTGGGGCAAGAGAGGGATGCTGCTTTTTGCCCAAAACTGGCACACTGAGATGGCTTTGTGAGCAGGTGCCTTGTGGTGGCAAAACCAGTCCCCCGTCTGATGCCACAAATCAGGACTTTGTTGTCGTACACTGTTATGCAATCTTTTCAGAACCTCTAAATAGAAAGCTTGATTAACAGTCTGACCTGGTAGAACCAACTCCAAATACACTACAAGTCGCCATTTTCTTCTGTTGGGGAAGTTATGGATGTCCAGAACGAGGTTTGTCGTCAATCGGCATTCCACCTTTTTTGAAACAAGAAAACCACTTGCACACTTGAGTTTTTCCCATAGTGCTGTCCTTGTAAGCTGTGTCCAACATCACAAAAGGTTCTGCGGCATTTCTCCTGAGCAGGAAACAAAATTTCACAGACACACCCTGTTCTCTTAAATTGACCAGAAAAAAATGAGGTTTGAGCAAAACTGCTTTTATGCAAAACTTCAGTGACCAGAGAGAGCCTTCCAGGTGACGCCAGTGGGTGCCCTAACTCAGAGTGAGTTGCTTGATGCTCACCTAGTGGGGGAAAATGCATACTACAAAAGCTCTGCTCCACCCAGTGCAATTCCAGGGGTTTTTGGGTACCCCGTTGTATTCATGCAAAATGAAGCCACTGCTTCGAACTGTTATAATCCATGTGATCTTCAGTTCAGAAAGACTCAAGCCTTCTTCAGCGGGGTTTGACAGAGGGAAAAGGCACCAATAGGAAGCGGCACTCTACCTGCACCTTCGAGGGTCCCGGTGATATGGGAGCTGAAGAATAGGGTGGCAGGATCAGAGGCATGCTGGGAAACCAGCAAAGCTTTGTTGGCCAGAATAGGAAACAGCTTCACAAAGGAGAATTGAAGGGGCCAGGTCAACATCAAAATTCCTAAATGCCAAAACCGCGATGTGTGACGTTCATCCGCAGGTTACAAGGAACCGTGTGCAGGTGACGTTTTAGAAAGTAAAGTGTCTCCCAGGTTAAGGGATCTTTGAGACTTTCACATTTCACTGATACACACCGTCTCCGAAGACCAAAAACCACGTGTCCCCGAGTCTCCTCTTCTTCTCACTGCACTGCTTCGCAGATGTTTCTTTTCTTAATAAAGGTTGCATGTGGCCTGCCGGGGGAGGGAGGGGCTGACCATCCCTTTTCTAACCTTTGTTCTGTGAAACCAAAGACCTGTGGGTCTTCGCTCCATATACAATATTGTCTTTGGCAAAGTATGTGGGAAAGAGCTGGCTCCGTTTCATTATCTAAGATGTCCTAAAGAGTTCTGTACTTCCTGGCCTAGATTCAAGACTGGCAAAGTATGTACCAGTCGACTCACATTCCGATACCAAAGTTTACCCCCGTGGACGAGTCCGTCACCTTTATCGGCCGCCTCTGCAGAGAAATCTTGCGGATCACAGACCCAAAGTAAGTGTCTTGGGAATCCCACTGGCCGTGCCCACGTGGACAAGCCTAGTCCGCACACTTGGGTTGTGTAGCCTCAGGTCACACCCTGAATCTCTGCTGCAGGTGAATCCCACCTGTTTTGTTTATTATAACGCTTGCTGTCTTGGAGGCTGCCTGCCTTCCCCAATGTGACTCAGGAACCCCCACCCCCACCCGTATCAAAGCATAGATGGAACCAGAACAAAACATAAAACGGAACCAAATTCTCACCTGGCCCCCGGGCCTCAGCAGTGGACTAAGGTGTTTGATTACAGATTGCTCGGCCACCCCTTGTGTCGCGAGTGCCTTCTGCCAAACGAGTCAACGGATCTCGAGTTTGTCCGCTCATAAAGGTGCTCTGGTGGTGCAGTGGCTAAAGCGCTTGGCTGCTACAGGACAGTTGCTGGTTCAGACCTGCCAGCTGCCCCACGGGAGAAAGGTGTGAGTTTGCTTCCATGAAGACTTGCCCCCTGAGAAACCCACAGGGCAGCATTACTCTGGTCGGTCACTGGGTCAGAATGGACTGAATGGCGCTCCCGACCTTTCGGCGGCGAGGCGCTCCCTGTTTCTTAGCCCAACACACGAGCGCTTTGGATAGGAAGCGTACCACCAGTCAGTCATTGAGCGGTTTCCAGCACAGTGTCTGCGTGGAGTTGCCTTACTCAGGGCAGCAGTCTCCCCAGATGGGCGTGGTTGTTTGAAAGGTGGCATGACTGAGGCACAGTTAAGAAGTGCATCACACACAGCCCTGACTCCAAGCCCCAGCTCTTCCACGCCTGCTGTTCAGGCTCTGACGTACCATGACTCCTGGTTTACATTAGGGCCCCACGAGTTCTGAATGGGAAAAAAAACAAAAACAAACCACAGCCCCCCTTAGGCACATGTGGGATGGGGACCACGTTGGGAAGAAGGAAGTCTGCCTCGGTAAGCCCTTGCTCTCGGCTGAGCCTGGATGAAGCAGTGGGTGCGATGGGGAAGCGCGCAGGCTTACGTTCTGCCTCTGGGTCATTTCCGGGCACATGCTCACCACAGGGAGCAGTTACTAAAATGACTTCTCCCCCCCCACCCCACCCCCAAATGCTATCGCTTCTTTCTCGCTCCAGCTACGGCTGCCTAGTGGAGCTTCTGACTAGCATAGTGAGGATTCCACGTCCCATTCATTACCAGGATGGCAGTGGCCACAGGCTCTGGTTTCTCTCTGGAAATTTACAAAACGGCCACGTGGGCTCTACCACCTTCCAGGTTGACAGCCAAGCCTCACCCTGGCCTGTCAACACGGCTCAAAACCACAGTTCACTTCAGCAGAAGCGTGCCACTCAAACTGCAGATTGGGGTAGGACAGCGCCTTAATTCCACACCTCTCTCGGATGAATGCTGGGCGGCTAATGGATTTTCCATGCGTTTTGTTCTCGTTCTAGAACGACATGTCACATAGACCAGCTAAACACTTGGTATGATCTGAAAACACATCAAGAAGTGACCAGTAGTCGGCTCTTCTCAGAAATCCAGACCACGCTGGGAACCTTTGGTCTGAATGGATTAGACAGGCTTCTGTGCTTCATGATTGTGAAAGAGTTACAGGTGAGCTCCTGACGGTCTGCTACCCTGGAACACAGGAGAGTTGACCTTGCGGGGCAGCTAACGCTCCTTCCATGCTTTCTGATGCTGACAGCAGGCACCTGCTCCAGGGATAAACTGAAAGAGCTGGGGGTCAATGCAGTACTTTGATGGGACATTTGCTTCTGTGGGTTTCCAAAATTAGGAAGGTCCTTTATCTTCAAAACCAAGGACTATTTCTCATAAGAGCCCCACCTTACTGCTTCCCTCCGTCATCCAGTTTATCAGCCCTCGTGGCCTGTGGTGTAGACACAGTCTGTCTAGTGCAACGTTTTCATTATCTGGAGTATTTATTCCTTTTTCTCCAACGGAGTTTAGTTCTCTCATCACGCCTTCTCGTTTTCAGAATTTCCTCAGTATGTTTCAGAAAATTATCCTGAGGGACAGAACTGTTCAAGACACTCTAAAAACCCTCATGAATGCTGTCAGCCCCCTCAAAAGTATTGTAGGTAAGTGTCCTCGCTCCAGCCTTTGGGTGGAGAGAGCAGGGCAGCCTTCCCCAAGTGACCAAAGACAAAAATTGTATTTTCACCTTCCAGCAAATTCAAATAAGATCTATTTTTCTGCCATTGCCAAAACACAGAAGATTTGGACAGCTTATCTCGAGGCTATCATGAAGGTATGATGTGGGGGAGAGGGGAGGGTCAACTTTTGGGGGTGACCATTCACGTTCTCTTTTCTAAATTATTGCTTTCTCCTAAGTTCAGTGCCCAAAGACAGGCTACGCGTCCTTCGTTGGGTTTGAAAACAAAGCCACGAGCCTGCAGCCACAGTTTTATCATCAGTTCTGCATTTGTGTCTGTACCTTCCCACCCGGGGTTGTTCTGAGTGATGGCCCCTGCTCTTCCCTGGCCGATTGCTTGTCTTTCATTCAATGGGCTGTTGGTTTTTGAAATGCCTTTATGCTCAGAGTTCTTCCATAAGTCTGAACAAATGTCTCCCTCCGTTATATTCCACCCTTACGTAACAAGTTCATTTAAGATACTTAATCTCTGCATTTCAAAATTGCACCTGTGCTCAGTCGGGAATAGAATAGGACAACCTGTGCCTTTGGCCTGTCATGCTTGCATAGATGATAGATTGCCAGGTTCTCCACGACATGAATTAATCTTTACATTGGGAACACAACACTCTGTCAATCATTAAGATTGAGTGTGTCAGTCCAGGTAGACAAGAGATAAGAATCTAGGGAGACTCATGTGTATAAGAAAGAAGTGTATATATAAGAGCAGTTGAATATTGAGGAAACAGCCCAGCCCAGTCCAGATAAGTTCTTAAGTCCGGTATTAGCCCATATGTCTTGATACGAATCTATAAAGTCCTCTTCAGAATCATGCAACACATGCAATGACACCGAATGCAGGCAGATCGCAAACCAGTGAGTGGAAAGTCTTGTGGATCCAGTGGTGTAAGCATCTCAGCGTCGACGGGGCCCTTCACGTGGCTTCTCTGGCTCCAGAGGTCTGGCTCCATCAGCTTCTCTCCATGCGTCATCTCCACAGGGATGTGTTACAGGAAGTGAGCCGGCATCCCACCTCCAGTGAGCCATCTCCCTATCTCCTTTTATCTCCTTAGCACCTCCAAATGAGGTCTTCAAGCTACAACAACCTGATTGACAGGTAGACTCCACTCCTTCACTCTTAATCCTCAAAGCGACAACAGATTATGTAACTCCCACCTTGAGCAATGTGGTTAACTTGCTAGGTGGAAGTTCACTTCTGCTGCACTGTGACTGACTCCCTAGGGCCCTTTGGTCTCCTGGATGCCTTTCTATTGGCATCTGATGATCAAGATTGTGCTAACACCTGGTTGACTAGAGAAACAAATTCATAGACACTCATGTGTATAAGAAAGAGCTAAAAAAAAAAAAGCTTTATATCAAAGAGTAATTGTATATTAAGAAAACAGTCTAGTCCAGATCAAGTCCATAAGTTCGATAGTAGCCCATATGTCCGATCCAGTCTACAGATTGCTCTTCAGACTCAGTCAACACACACAATGACACCAAATGCAGAAAGATCACAGGCCAGTGGGTGGAAAGCCTTGTGGATCCAGTGGTGGTGGAAGTCTCTCAGCACTGGTGTGATTCTCCACGTGGCTCCTCCAGCTCCAAGGCTCCGGCACCATTGGCGTAGCTCCATGTGGCTTATCAACAGGAATGTCTCGCAGAGAGAGTGTGTGTGTCCGGCCCCCAGGGAGGAAGAGAGGAGTTTCCAGAATCCTGAGGAGGAAGCCATGCCCACACCGAGGCCTCATTGGCTATGACCTGATTGACAGGCTCAACTCCACCCCTTTGCTCAAGTTGACAGGAGATTATGTAACTGCTACAAAGATGTACAGCTACCTTTGTGCAGCACCCGATATGCCCAAAGCATTGGCCTTTGGTATAAGAGAGCTCAATGAAACATAACAGATTAAAACCTAAGAATGGATTTTCCAGTGGAAAACTTTCATGATGTAAAGTTGGACTTACTGTAAGAATTAAAGTCTGGAATGTCATCATTCCCATTTAAAAAATATTTTAGTGCTAAATGCATGAATAAATAATCCAAAGAGCCTTTGATTCTGCCAGGCCCCTTCTTGTTACATCGGTTTCACCTTCCCATCACCTCATGGGGTTCCGAGTGCCTGTTTGGCCCAGGTTCTAGTTGCCAGAAAACCCTTCAGGACGTGTGAAAAATGGCCTCTGGCAGGACAAGCTGAGTCTAGCTTCCAGAGAGGCTGGGAGGGAGATGGCAATGGTGCTCTGAGAGGCTCAGAAAGCGCCATGGTGCCCGGGGCCTTACAGCCCAGTAGCTTCCCCAGAGGGTTATTCATTTCAGAAAGGTGGTAGTTCAATAGGAGCCAGCGATGGTGCCTGAGCCCATGGCCTTCACTAAAGCTCCCACAGAGCAGTATCTCACGATCCCTGAACCAAGGTTGATCTGGAGCAGGCCTGTCCCTAAGAACTTTCTCCAACAACGAAAATGTTCTTTGCTGTTGAGAACAGTGGCCACCAACCAAAAGGTGGCTGTTGGGCACTTGACATGTGGCTAATGCCACTAGAGGAGGGAATTTTTTATTTTAGTGCATCCTAACAAATTTAAATCTACGTGGCCACTGAAGGAGTGCAGCCAGCGGGCAACGAGAGAGCCTTGTGATGAGCAAAGTCCAACATGCATGTTGAACAGACTTCCTTTCTGTTTCCATGTGTGGATTGGTACTTCCCAGGTACCCTGGACAGAGAATAGCCTAGACATAACGTACCTAGAATCAAGCAAGGAATTCCTGGGGCCAGAGAGTTTTGTGGGACGGTGTAGACTGAAAGCATCTACTATTTTCTTAGCCTTGCCCTATTCTAGTTTTTAAAGAGCACAATTCTTCTATAAATAAAAGCTTTCTTATTGATAGTACTGCTCTTTTATATAATGCTCAAAATTAGTCGAGGCCATTGAGTGGTCTTTGCTGTTGTGTTGAGAATGTCCACAGCCAAAGGCACACCAGTGGAACAGTCCTGACCTGTGGATTCAGTGATGACAGTCTACAGGATATGTGCACCTCTCGCCCTCCTCATCTGAATTGGTCTTCCCCATTAACCTAAACACATTACCCGCTGAGGGTCCTGTCTACATTCAGTACTTTTTCATTGTCTATCTAAATCGGTGCTTCTCAACCTTCCTAATGCCGCCACCCTTTCATACAGTTCCTCATGGTGTGGTGACCCCCCCAACCATACAATTATTTTCGTTGCTAGTTCATCACTGTCATTTTGCTACTTTTATGAATCAGGCGACCCCTGTGAAAGGGTCGTTTGACAACAGCCCCCCTCCCCTCATTAAGGGGGTCTCAACCCACAGGTTGAGAACTGCTGATCTAAATAAAAGCTTTTTTTTTTCCCTTCGAGAAAGCCATTCTCTTGTTTTTAACTTTTATCTCCAACCACAGCTTAGCGGAAATGTGTTTATTTTTGCCATGCGATTCTTGACATCATAAAACAAGCAATTTCAGTATGGATTCCTTGCTCAGAATGGAGTAGAAAAGAGGTTGGCACACACACACTTAAGTGTGTTGTTGACTTTAGGCTTCAAGAGCACTTTGGGGAGCTAGCTGTCTGTCTCCGCTTTGTCTCCCCAGGTAATTATTGTCAGTATCTTCAATATGAATTCACAGTAGTGACTGGGCCTACCATGTTACTATCCCTCAACCAACCAGGCTTGTGCGCCAACAGTTTGGTCACTATTTGTTATTAGGGGCTTTCATTGTCGTCTTAGATGTTTTATTTTTTGTCCAGTCGAAAGCACTTCTCTGAAATAGGCCCTTCCACCTCACCAAAATCTCAGGGGGCTCTAAGCATTTAAAAAAACAAACAAATAGTTAAAGACTCCCAGGTGGAGAGAGTCATTATTGTTATATTTAGGCATTCGTGTTAAATTGTACACATCCTTGTTACAGTTGACACATTCTTGTTAGATTATCATATCATCCAGATTAGTGCCTAATCTACAATCCTGAGATTTACACTCACATTTGGGGACACAAGGCTGAGATGACGTCCGTGGACTTGGGATTGGCCCATAGAGGACAGGTCTTCTCATAGCAGCTACTAAACCTTAAACAACAGCAACAGCAAAGCTTCAAAAAAGACATCTGCATGCACACATAACCCAGTGGGAACGGTCACTTTGGAAGCGCTTAGACTCAGGCCCCTGTGAAGCTGCAGTACAAGAGTCTCTCCAGACTTCTCTTGTGCTTTCCAGAGACGACGATTTTGCTCCTGTGACCCCCAGGGCCAGTCGAGGAAACCCCTAGCTTTTTCTATAGAATTATGTGCTTTTTCTATAGAATAATGTGAGCCTCCTCTTGCAAATGGCCATCTGGGGTATGCCTGGTACTGTCACTGGGAGTGCAGATGTGCACCAGCTAACAGCCACTGTGTGTCCGCAGGTTGGGCAGATGCAGATTCTGAGACAGCAGATTGCAAATGAACTAAACTACTCCTGTCGGTTTGACTCCAAGCATCTGGCAGCTGCTCTGGAGAACCTCAATCAGTGAGTACCAGGGCGCCTGCATCAGTCAGCATAAACTAGCACCCCACTTTCGGCAGCACCGACTCTCAGAAGCTCTTTTAGAACAAGAGACCTCTCCAATTCTCTAGGATTCTTTCCAGTGGAGGAGCAAATTTATCTTTGAAAGTCGGATTGTTCCTCGGTCTCATTTTCTATCTTCTTCTTTTTTATATATTTTATTTTTATCAATTCAGCCAACATACATCGATCAGGTGTAGTACACATCAGATATTGTACTAAGTGCTTACACAGAAAGCAATTATTACCCAAGATCCAAATGGGCTTTCTATAGGACTGAACCTCTCATTACCTAGAAGTGTGTTCATCATCTGGAGCGGTGTGAGCATGCAGGTCCTGTAATACCGGCCTGCACCTCACCAGTAGCTGGCTCTCATTTGAGCCTTCTAGTCAAAGGTAAAGGAACTGCTTACCCACAAGGTTGGAGGTTCAAACCCACCAGCTGGTCCACAGGAGAAAGACGAGGCTATCTGCTCCCAAAAAGATTTACAGTCTAAAACCACTGGACCAGGGTCGCTCTTGAGTTGGAATAGACTCGGTGGCAGTGGGTTGGTTTGGGTTTATTTAAAGTAAACTATCCATGCTTCATGATCACTAACATAGTGCTTTTTGACAAACTAGGTCATGAAAACAGGTCAGTCAAATCTTGAAAACGTAGATAAAGAGCCCTTGGTGGCACAGGGGTGAAACACTTGGCTGCTAGCTGAAAGGTCAATGGTTTGAACCCACCAGCCGCTCCTTAGGAGAAAGCCGATGCAGGCTGCTTCTGTGACGACTGCCACCTTGGAAGCCTGGGCGGGCAGCTCTACTCTGCCCAGTCATGTCTCTGAGTCAGGAGAGACGGCAGGGGGTCAGAAAGATCAAGAAATTTGAGGTCACATTGTCCACGTACAACCCATCACAGACACAGAGGTGGAGAATTAGGAAGACACCATCCTCAATTTACAGAGAAGGTAATCACAGCCCCAAAGATAGCCTCGCTGGCTTGTAAATAATTGCTGACGTTTACTACTGTTTTTTTTGGGGGGGGTACCCTTCCTTTAGGGCTCTCTTAGCAGACATTGAAGCTCACTATCAGGACCCTTCACTGCCTTACCCCAAAGAAGACAACACCCTCTTGTATGAGATCACAGCCTATCTGGAGGCGGCTGGCATCCACAATCCTCTGAGTAAGGTCAGTGACTGGAAGACGTCCATCTGCAGTGGTGGGAGCCTGTGAGCAAGTGCACCAGGCGGTGGACTGGTCACAACTCCAGGGCGTCAGGCCCCAGCTCCCCTATCCTGCCGAGTGTCCTGCCGTCTCAGCTCCATTCCCCAGGTGTGATGTGAGGAGGACCACGCCTGGCCCCTCCCTGGGGACTTGAGACAACCAAGCAATGCATTGGTCACCAAAGTGGGTGAAACGTGAAAGGCACTGGCTGTCTGGGGGTTGATGTTTGAACTTCAGGGACGCGTAGTCTTGATCCTTCGTGCACAAAGCGCTTTCCTCCTTGGCGATACCGATCGATCACAGTCAGAGTAGGGCCTTCAGACTCTCTTCCACATTTCTGATCTCCAAGGCCCTCTGAGAACTGATTGGTCTTCCATACGTTAATGGCAGATCTGATTTGGTGGCGAAACCTGACCATACTGCCAAAGGATAAGGCTGTGTATTTACTCATTCTATTTCTGTACTTTGATGCAGAAAATCTTGATGGCTGTGATTATAGGGTGTCACCCCAGCACCTATGAACCCTAAAATCGATACATTTTCATATTCTGAAGTGTGTGCAGTCTCACAGGTTTCAGATAAAAGAGGATGGTGTTAAGTAACAGCTAATACTTTCTGAGTGCTTTCTTCTGGTGCCAAACCCTGACCACGGATGACCTCAACCTCACAGCAGCTCTGTGAAATAGAAGGGACCGAAGATGTAAACCATGGGTTAGGTGTCAGGCTGCTAGGCACAGGGTTGGCAGTTCAAACCCACTAATCACTCCTCTCGAGAAAGATGAAGCTCTCTGCTTCTGTAAAGATTTACTGTCTTGGAAACCCTAGATAGAGTCACTGTGAGTCAGAATCAACCCATTGTCAGTGAGTGATTTTTGGTATAACTCAGAAGTTAAAAACCTACCTGAAGCCCCACACCAATGAAGGAAGGGGCCAGGCAGCCTGTGTTTCTTCTAACCATTATGCTACCCCTACCACCCACCCCCATTGAATCAAAATGGAGCTGGGAGGGTGGAGATGGCTGTGCGTAGAGACTGGCTGATCTATGACTTGGCCCAGGGGGAAGCAGTCCTCTCTTACCTTCAGCTCCTGGGCTTCTAGTCCTTGCCGTATGCTCTATTCCTTGTCTGTCTCTCTTTCTCTCTTCCTCCCCTCGCCCCCCCCATCAATCCCAGCATCCCTCCTTGAAAGCACTTGATTTTGCTCTCTCTGTATTGCCCAACCCCCTCCCCTCTGCCCTTTATTAATGACATTTGGGGGAAGCATGGGTCCCTCATGGTGCCATGGTGAAAGCACTTGGTTGGTAGTTCAAACCCACCAGCCCCTGCACAAAAGAAAGCCGCAGCAGTCGGCTTTCATACACATCACAGCCTTCAGAATTCCACGGGGCAGGTCCACTGGGCCCTGGAGTGTCGCTGTGAGGCGAAATCCGTGTGATGGCCATGGTTTCGTTCTGGTGTGGTTTTCTGAAATCTCTATGCAAAATTATCCTCTTCCCAGAAAGGTTCATTGTTAGAAGAATTCGCTGTGCTGGCATTTTTATCCTTGGAAGGCAGCAAATGAATGAGAAATCGTCACTGGGCTAAAATGTTGGGAGTTTGAAGAAATGGCATTTGAAGAAATTGCCTGGTTTTCCATTTTTCTCTTCCCAGATCTACATAACAACAAAACGCTTGCCTTATTTTCCAATTGTCAACTTCATATTTCTGATCGCCCAGTTACCAAAACTGCAGTACAACAAAAACCTAGGTACTGTACGGTATTTCTTCTTCATAGTAAGTAACCATAATGCTACATTCTTTCTAACCAAACAGCTCTTTATGTAGAATGCTATGTCAGATTTTTTTTTTTTTTTAGTTACAAAGGTATGTTGCTAAACTATAGGTCTTTGTGCCTCTGAAATTGATGTCCCTTCATGACAACGCATAGGCAGCAGATTCTATATCAACCAAGACGTCACACACACCCAGAATGAGAGACCTGGTGGCCTCTCAGACCAGTTTCACTTGATAAGAAACTGCCAGATCTTACCGCCGCACCAAAGTGCTTGTACTATTATATCCTCCGACCAGCAATATAAGGAGCCCCAGTGGGTCAATCCCACCGACGGCTTTATTGGAGGAAGATGAGGCTGTCTGGTCCCATCAAGATGGACAGCCTTGAACACCCTGTAAAGCAGGTCCATTCGGTGTGACAGGGTGTCTACAAGGAGAAGCAGCTCTGTAGCAATGGGGTTGCTTTGGGGTTTGGCGAGCACTTCTTTACTTGGTGTTGAATTTTGTCCACCCCACCCCCACCCCCCACAGGAATGGTCTGTCGCAAGCCTGCAGACCCTGTCGACTGGCCACCGCTAGTCCTGGGCCTGCTCACTCTGCTAAAGCAGTTTCATTCCCGGTACACGGAACAGTTCCTGGCGCTGCTCGGCCAGTTCGTCCGCTCCACCGTGGAGCAGTGCACAAGGTACGCCGTCTGGCCAGGGACAGGCGCTCTTCTGTGCTGCAGCCTCCTGGACCCCATGCACCAAACCCTCTTACTCTACCTCCTTTGGGGGGAAGAGGCTGGGTACTCTTCTCCATCAAACCAGTCGGGGGGCAGCTCCTCACAAAGTGCCATCGAAGGCCCAGCCTGAGTCACCTTGAAGGATGTGCAGTGGCCCGCCCCACTGTGCCCAAGATGAGTAGCCCCAGGAGGAAGGCTGTCCAGTCCTGTCTGTGCAGGGAGCCCGCCCGAGGGATGAGGGAATGGGCTTGTGTGAAAACCTGGCCCGTGCCTGAGTGCCTGGTGTAGCGAGGCAGAACTAGCACAGAAAGATTCCAGCCTGTGACCCTTCACCCATGCTGATGCTGACTCCTTGCAGGGACCTCCTTTTGTGGTTGTTAGCGTTTCTCTCGCCTCCTGAACTCTGACTGCAGCTTATGAATTGGTTAAAGAAATACCCTCTTTGAAGCAATGCTGGCTTGATGGGAAATGAAAGTGCCCGGAGAAGGGGAGAATTCATGATTCTTCCCATTGCAAGTTAGTAGCTCCTTGTTCCTGAAGGAGAGGAGCCTTGGAAGCACTATGGCTCACCAAAGCTCACCAAAAGGTTGGCAGTTCAAACTTACCACCCGCTCCAAGAGCAAAAGTCGTGGCATTCTGCGTCCGGAGAGTACAGCCTTAGAAACCCTGCAGGGCAGTTCTCCTGTGGCCTAAAAAGCCCATCCGAGTAAGGTTCAAATCGATGGCAGTGGGTAGGTTTGGTGCCTTGAGGTATAAAGGGTTATCTGTTGAGCTGTTAACTGTAAGGTCAGCAGTTCAAATCTACCAGATGCTCCTCAGGAAAATGATGAGGCTTTCTACTCCCATGAAGATTTGCAGTCTGGGAAACCCACAGGGCCAGTTCTACCCACCCTACAGGGTTGCTGTGAGTCACAATTGACGTGATGGCAGTAAGTTTGGTTTTGGAGTTTGAGTGGCACATTGAAAGACAGAGCAGTGGGGACTTCGGGAGTCTCTTGTTGTTAAATGCCATCGAGTGGCCTCTGACCTACAATGACGCTGTGCACAACAGAACAAAACACTGATGCAGCCACCGTGTTCACCCATCTCACGGAGGGCCTTCCTCTTTTCCACTGCCATTCCACTGTTCCAAGCCTGATGGCCTTCTCCAGGGACTGGTCCCTCCTGACAACATGTCCAAAGTATGGCTATGCTGTCTGATAGCTCATAAACCTGTTCAAAACAAAAACCCATCAGGAAAATGACAGAGCACCATGAAAGTCTTTGCTAACTTTGGAAATGGCAATTTGAACATAAAGTGGAAAGTATATAATACCTAAAAGCTTCTGAGATGATGAAACATGCAGATTCCACAGAGACGTCATCGTGGGTTCAGTGCTGGGCTGGTAACCACAACTTCCGCATGCAGTTCAGCTGCTCTGTGGGATCAGGAAGCCCAGGTGGCGTTGCTGAGTAAGCATTGGACTACTCTCCACAACGTTGGTAGTTCAAACCTACCAGCTGCTTCTCGTTCGAGAGGAAGATGAAGCTGTCTGCTTTCATAAAGATTTACAAAAGCCTTGGAAACTCTATAGGGATTCTGAGTCCACATGGACTCAATGGCAGTGGGATTTTTTGTTGTTAATTTTATGTGTTGTTTCTCTCTGCTCCCCTAAAGTCTCAGCAGCACAGGGAGCCGTTCAACTCTGTCCAATCAGGCCGCTCTGAGCCAAGATCAATTTGACAGCAGTCACTTTGGTTTAGGAGAGTTTAGTTCAGGAGCAGAGCCAGGGTTGTGGGCTGAATGGTGCATGGGTAGGAGGGTCCCATAGGGAGAAGGATCAGATGCTGGACTTATCGGACCAATCGCACAAGACGCTGCAGATAGAAAGAGTATAAGTCATGCAAGGAGTTGCTACTCTAATGGGAACCAGGGACACAAACATGGCTTGGTCTAAATCAAGTGTGTCTCTTCTTGGACTTTCTAAGGTGGTCAGTGATTTAGTGTCCCCGCCCCCACCCCACCCCAAACTGAGGAGGTATTCTGTACAGAGCAGTTACCTGATCCAGACTGTTTATTCTTTTACAGCCAGAAGATACCTGAGATGCCTGCTGATGTGGTAGGCGCCCTTCTGTTCCTGGAGGACTATGTTCGATACACGAAACTTCCCAGGAGGGTAAGTGAGCATGACGAACAATGGATGAGGCAGAAAATGACATGAGGGTGGGCAGTGTAATATCTAAGATCCTCCGGTTTCCCTATTGCCAGCAGGCAAGAGTCAGACAGTTCCTCCTGGGGCACTCTGCTTCCATTCTGGGTTCAGGAATTCATTGCATTGGCCACACAGATGAGGGTTTAGAGGGAAGTTAACAGGTTACCACAAGTCAGGGTCAGTAAACAGTAAGGATAGGGTCATTGGCCCACAGCAACCCCTCTCCTCAGCCAGCACCCACGTCTCTCAGGCCCTCAGCCTCTTGGCTATGTGGTTCCTTGGCCTCTGCCTCCATGGACCAGGAAGCCCGCCTCTCACTGTCTCACCATCCCAGAGTCTCCCTCCATGCCACAGCTGCTGGTGCCTCTGGACTTGGCCTCTACCACTTCAGAGATCTGGAACACTCGTCTGATGGTCCTGGGCTCTCTCTGCGTCCAAGATGGCTAGCCTGTCCTCTTAGTTGCACATGCCTATTTGCATAGTCCTACCCCATCACTTGGTGGGAGCTGGAAAGGCAACTTGGGAAAAAGAGCCATATTAAGAAATGTCACTCCATCACCAATGACCAACCTCTCTGTAAAAAGACAGTAGCAGTGACCTGGGACTCGGAAGGAGGGATGTCCCGCTGAGATGCCCTTCTCATCATCACTGTGATAGGTGCTTCCGAAAATAAGTGATTTTCACCACGCTCCCAAAGTAGTTTTTATTTTGAGGGCTCGTAAATAGAAACTTGTGGAAATGTTTCCATTTGTTTTGGATTATACAGCTGAATACAGGAACTCTCGTTCACGTCTGTAGGTCGCTGAAGCACACGTGCCTAATTTCATCTTTGATGAATTCAGAACAGTACTGTGACGTCATGTTTCTGCCGCTGCTTCAAGAAAGGGGTTGTTCGTAAGTCTTTCCACCAGCACGAAAATGAACATGCAGATGGAAAGAAACTCAACTGCTCAAGTACCCTGGCTGCTTCCCCTCTTGCGGGAGACAGTACCATCCTGAGTTGACGCATCATCTCACAGCGCTAGTTAAGATTATTCATTCTGTTTAAATCATATGCAATTTATATCCTGTAGACGCAGAACAGAGTTTTGTACTGCCTCTTATAAATGCTGAATATAATTGATATGCATAAATCCATCTAGTTTTATGTTCAAAAGAACTATTTGTGTAACTTCAAATTTTTAGCAAAATAGTACTGCCGGTACCCAAAATTGTCCTGCTGCTTTCTGCTTATGTTCCAAATACTACATACTTACCCTATAAAAAGGGTTGCTTCCAAGTCGAGATGAATCTGGGGGCGCAGGGGCTACACCACACCATGCTGGCAGGCCCATGTGCTGATCTCACTGGTGGGCCATGTGCAGTGGATAGTTCTTGGAGGCTGAGGCACACCTTCTTTACCAATCGCAGATGCCCGGGGCATTTCCAGCACCCCTTCTGTAGGACTCCCTCACTTTATCTGCACCTTCCTTTCTCCCATCCTTCCCCAGCAGACTGTAGCCCCTGAACCCTGCCCCAGTTCCCCAAACTATATTGCTAACCCTAAGCTGATGTTTTTTTCTAACAATTTAGCCAAAAAACTTTTATTGCTTCTAAAATCCTACATCACTTGTACCTGAAAATGATTCTGTAAAAGGAGCTGATCTGTGGCAATTTGGACATCAAATTGGCTGAGCGAGAGAAAAGTTTTGGGGTTTTCTTCACCATTCTCGGAAGCGATGTTTGAAAATAATAGTAATCCACAGCAGGAAACACAAAGTACATCTGAGGTCACTATGCATTTTATTTTCATGTCCCACAATGCCTTATTCCATATGGTGAATGCAAAAGAAAAACCGCATTCCTCTGCAGTAACACTCATTTATGGTGACAATCATTTCTTTGAAATATCTAACTTGTCTGACCCTTCATTTAAGTTGCAAATTAAAGGATATATTTACACATGTATATACAAGTAACTTGAAAAACAAATTAGCCCTAATCATGGTATCCAAGAATTGACGCTTTCAAAGTAGTGCAGAAGCGCTGCTTCCACACCTGCTCAGGACCCGGCCAGTTCCAGGTACTCATTCACAGACGGCTCTCCTTTCAGCTCAGTGAACCAAGTATTTCATTTCGGAGTAAATCAAAGGAAGTATCACAGAACACGCTTTGTACAAAACAGCACCACCACTCAAAAAGGCCCGGGGTTTTGTGATCCAGGGTTCTGATTTAAAGCAAAAATACATGGCATAGGCAGCGACGGCAAAGAAGTGTCCGATAAGAACTAGAGGATTCGGAGACAAGCTGTGGGAAAAAAGAACAAGTTAAAACGTGCTCATGAAGAGGTACCAGTTTTGAATTATCTAATACAGGCGTCCTCAAACTACAGCCACATGCAGCCCACCGAGGACATTTATCCAACCCGCCGGGTGTTTTTGCCCCGTTTGTTTTTTCACTTCAAAATAAGATATGTGCAGTGTGGATAGGAATTTATTCAGGTTTTTTTTAAAGTATAGTCCAGCCCTCCAATGGGTCTGAAGGACAGTGAGCTGGCCCCCGGTTTAAAAAGTTTGCGGACCCTGCTCTAATATAAACAGCAGGAAGTGCCCAGATGATGGAAACTGTTAGCATGCTCGCCATTAGGTGCTGGAGGCTCCTGTTCACCCAGTGCTGCATCAGAAAGGGTTGGCCTTCCACTTCCAATAGCAGCTGTGGGAAAGGCGGGGGCCAGTACTGCTCAGCCCATGGAGTGTCTGCAGGAGCAGAAGCAACGTGAGGGCAACTGGTTTGGTGTTTTGGAATTTTGATATCAGTTACCAGTTAAGTGTCAACTGTAGTGCTAACACAAACTCTAGCTGGAGCAGGGACTTTATAAGATGGTGTCTGTCTGCCCAGCAAGCTTGAAGCGGAGACCTTTTAATTTATTTTTTCTCTATCTTTTTAACCAGACATGAGTTAGGCCTCTCTCCTTTCAGAGCAGTCAGCGAGTCGGCCTCTTACTGTAGTCGACACCAATCTGGGAGTTTGAGCTGGTTTCTTCCACTAATTTTGAGATCTTGGAAGCACTTGACGGCTTGTGGCCTGTGGGCGTCGCACTGATCCCGACTCATAGCCACCCTATTGGACAAGGCAGAACTGCCCCTGCACATTTCCAAGAGCTATTAATTTTTTACAGGGGTTTGAAGTCAGCTCTCTCCCACAGAGCAGCTGATGTTTCTGACCATTGACCTTGTGGTTAGCAGCCCAACTGGTAGCCCACAATGCCACCAGGGCTCATCTGGGCAGTGTCTAGGGTTCTCAAAAGTTAACACTACATTCCGGTTTCTCATAAATGAGGGGAAAATAGCAAGTTCATTTAGGAGGTTGTTAGAGAAATAGCTACACCTATGTCTGTACCATCAGAACGACTACTGAGTCCCTGCACTTTATTCAAGTTGACTTTAATACAAATTCTCAGTTGTCCATGGCTCCCTCCCACAAAGCAGTCCACGCCGTTTCCAGCAGGAAAGCACACAACTGGAAGTTGCCTTATTCACAGGGGCAGTTCTGTTCTAGCCTATGCAGTCACATGAGTCCAAATCGACTTGATAGTAATGAGGTGTATGTTTGTTTCTAAGGGATACCTGGGGAATGATGCTAATGAACAATAAAATAAGCATGTGTTGGAGGAAGTGAGATAGACAGCCAATCCCACTGATCTGTCCTAAGAAAACCTGAACAGTCATCGCCATGCCATCCAAACAACTTACACAGAAAGTAGCCCAACGGGACCGGCCACACACTCTCCACCAAGTTTGAAATAAAGGAAACAGGCTTTTCTGAGTTGATGCAGAGAATCTAAAATAAAATGTAAAAATTACTCTCAACCGGAATAGCCACACATTTAAGTTAGGGCAGTAATGAATGGTATGTCTGGGGGGAAAATCATGAAATTGTAACAAATATCAAATCTTATACTTTTTTTTTTTTTTTAAAGAACCCAGCCCTGGAATTTCAACCCAGGAAAGCTTTCTTTTAAATTCTAAATAGCAGTATAAATATGAATATACATGTTTCAATATAATGGTTGTCAGCTTTGCATTTCACTTGTAAGAGCTCTTGGTAGGCATAGAAGAACACAAAGCTTAGTTTTTCTTGTTACTTGCTCAACCAGTCATTTTACCTTTCATGGCAATCCACGAGATCAACAAGTCAGTTCCAATGAGGTATTTTTCTTTCAGCAGGAGGGGGCGCTAACAAAGGCAGCAGAAGGGACTAAGGCTGCGCACCAGCTTTAAGCAAATGATAAGCCTGAGCCACTGGGGCCTTGGTGAGGTTACATAAAAGGGCTGGTAACAAATGCACACAAGTAATGGGATCTGAATTCTATTATTCTTGCAAACAGTTTCATTAGCCTACAACACACTGCTCTGTGAGCTGCTGTGCGAAGAGCAGGCACAGCTACCCTTGTCTCTGTCGCTAACACTTGCTGTGAAGTCCTGTTTACTATCACACCTCCCTCCAAAAGGGACACCTCCGAAACCTCCTGCTGAGTAGACTGGACCTTTCCCAGGGAGCAGAAACTCCACTTGCTTTAAGGGCTCCATCAGCTGATGAAAACAGTACTTGTGTCCAAATGATTGTGCAGAAGACCCTCCCTCATAATCCTGTGTGTGGTATGCATGATCTGGTGTGGTCCAGAGGAATGAAAAACCATGTGTGCATCCCACATTATTGCAGTCTTACTGCAAATGTTCTCAAAGGGAAGACAACAGGCTTTCCAGACAACGTGGTGAATATGTGACGAGACGCTCAAAATCTCGTTCAACACTGTAGTTAAAAAGGTCTGCTAACTTGGGAGTCAGCAAACTTGGGCAGGATCTCTAGTCTTAAGATCCCTTGCTATGTGAAAAATCTGAAATTTAGCAGTATTTATCCAAAGTATTTACACTTACCATCTGTGGCAGAAAATAATTCATAAAGAGCCTGAGCAAGAACATTCACAACAAAGGAGTGAGTCTTTTTTCTTGCCCAATAGAATGATTTCTTGGCCTAAAAAAGAAAAAAGGATCATGTATAATAGGGGGTGGGGGACAGTTCTGATGTGGATAATCCCTTCAAGCCAATCCTTATCTGGAGGGCTTTCTACAAGTAACACTGTAAATATTTATATTTTCATGCATATCCTTTACAAAAACCAACAGCTCCAGAGCAGTGGGTCACGTGACTCTGATGCAAAATGTGCAACGAGAGTGAGCAAGGTGGCCCTTGAAAGCAGCATCCTACAACAGAAATGTGGCTGCTCTAAGATGCACAGGTTCTCATTCAGGTTCTCTAAGGCCAAACAGGACCATGGAAGCACCACGACTATGCTTCAAGCTCCCAAGTTCAGATCCCTCCATTAAAATCCCATTCCTCTCAGCCCAGGAGGAAACAACTTGAGGCGGTTTTCTTCACTGGCAAGTTACTATCTTACCTGGAGAAGAGCTGCATCGTCATAAAGGTCGGGGATACCCTTGAGCAGTTGACTCCACAGTTTTATATCGTTAAAAACAACAGTCATTCCTCCACCAGTAAGAGGGTGCCTCATATTATATGCATCTCCCAAAAGAAGAACCCCTACAAAGAGAGAATTGAAGTTAAGACACCCGAAAGCATCTTTGTTTTTTTTTTTGGGAGGGGGGCCCTACTGTTTATAAAATATATTGATATATACTAAAATAAAAATAATAGAAATACAAGGGGGAAAATTATGACTGAAATATGTTGAGCCAAAATTTCCCAAAGTGACTGAAATAACATTTATCAGGCGCCAGATAGTCACCACATGCTGAGGACACAGCGAGAACAAAAGGCTGATCTTTGCCCTCCTGAACTTCACATGCAAGTCTAATGCTTAATCGAGCCATGTCAATACATTACAAAGGCCTCTTTCAAAATGATTCAGGCAAGATGGTAAAGGTGCTACAGGCATCTGAATAAAAAGCAGGATTTCAACAATGGGGTAAAAAACAACCTAGGGATCTTCCAGCTTCATAGCAATACCCAGTGCCAGCTGAATACAGAGATAAGTCTCCATACTTTGAAGGGAAAGAATAGGCCCAAGGAAGATTACACCCAGCCATGTGGAAATTCAAGGCAAAAGACAAGAGGCAGATAGTATCACAATGGTTAGATAACTATTTTGGAGAAAAACTTTTTATTTAATCCTCTGTGAACTTTAATCCTATTGCAGCAAAATTGGAGAAATAGGAAGCACCATTTGGCTCAAGCTGCACCCTCTGTCTCTAGGATTCCTAATCCACTCTGACCTCTTCTTGCTCCAAGACTTAGTGACTTCCAAACAGAAGCTTGCTTTCATCCGCCTAAGACATAGGCAACCCTAATCATAGTGTGAAGGAGATAAGATGAAGAGTAGTTTTTTCCCCTGTAATGTTATACATATCTTTATAGATCGTGTCATTACAACCAATACACATTAATTTAAAAGTGGCAGCTTCTAAATGTTAATTCACATTTTTCTGGATTACTTTGGTGTCTTCATTAAAAAAAAACAAAAAGCAGAAGGAGGCTTTTATTTTTATCAGTTTAGCACGTGCTACGTTTGCTTTGCACTGTAATTGTGAACTGTTTATCGTTTACTGTGTGTGTGTGTGTGTGTGTGTGTGTGTGTGTGTGTGTAGCAGATGGTAATAATTGCTAGGCTCAGGAACCTGAATTTATCAGCAGCTCCCACCTGACCTCTCTTCTGAGCTCCAGATATGCAGTCAATGGAGTCCACAAATCTCCACTCAAATCCTACCAACACCTACTCCATCTGTCCAAAGAGGGGTGCATTACCTCTCCAACACTTCCCTAAACTTACACTCCTGTATCAGGGAATGGCTGGCAAAACTATGCAAACACTAGTCACCTAAGCCAGAAGCCTGGTCAGTAGAGAAATATCACCTCACCATCCCTTACTATATTAGCCAATTGAGCAAATGTCATGGTTCTACATCTATTGCCCAAATCCACACCCTTCCTTCCACTTCTAGTACCTTAACTCTAATTCAGGCCTTTATCATTACCCACAAGCAAGCCATCATCCCATTATTAGAGTGAGACTCATATGTCATTTGGATGCTTCTTTATAAAATCAGTCCAATAAATTGATACCTCGTTTGCTGACGGGTGATGAAGGAAGGAAGCTTGCTGGCATGGCCCGAATTTGAGAATTCAGTATGGCCTCTAGGAACGGTTCTTTCAAATGATCTGCAATAAACCCAACCCCAGCCAAAGAAACAGTTTTAACATTTCAATTTCAAATTACCCCACTATGTTTATCAAGTACATACACCTACTATGTATGTATTATGGTTGTTAAATACACATTTTGAGGTAAAACAAGAATTGGCCACTACATTTTATACAACCTATTCATATTAATGGTTAGGCAATCTAAGAAAACACGATGTTAACAGACATAACAGCTGATGGAACGAACACAATAAACATATAGGCCAAAGGACACAAATTCAGAAACAATGAACTGAAGAAAAGCACCCACATCTTCTCTAAGGTTGGCCGTTTGAATCCACCAGCTGCTCCTTGGAAGAAAAATGAGGCTTTCAACCTCAGAAACCCCAAGGGAGGCAGTTCTACTTAGCCCTACAGTTAGTATGTATAAAAGGGATTCGATGGAAGTGGGTTAAAACCCACTTTATTATTATTATTATTATTCAAAAACTAAGCACAGAAATAGCTAAGTAGAAAAGATATTTCAAGATTTCAGAGGCCTTAGCTAGTTGTCCAGGCTACCTTTAACACATAACAGGCCAATAATAATTATTCTGAAACTTAATAATTTTAAAGACAAAAACATTGAAACTTCTTCTAACTGGACTTTGTTTTTTGAATTTGTTGCTCTAGGTCAGATCCAGGGTACCTGGGCAGCTGGATGCATTTTTTACCTGCTGCCTCCCTTATCTGGGGCCTATTTTATGTACCACTTCAGGAACTGGCCCCAGAAAGCCTTCAGAGAGATTTGCTTTGGGACCATAGGTAGATTACAAGGAGAGTGAAATCCTCTTTCTTACCAGGTATTTGTGGGTAAATTTTTTCAGTCATGTATTCTCTTAAATTCCTTGGTATTTCTCCTCGAATGTCAACAAGTACTCGAGTTTCATTGGAGGAAATCTGATAGATGAGAACTGGACTCGGATTCGTTAGAACAAGTTCAGCATGATTTGCTTTAAACTGTGGTGCGTTCTGGAAAAACACAGAAAAACATTAAGCATTTTAATAATTTTCAAATGCCACATTGCTTTCGTTTTTCTACAATCTCACTGCAACTGTACCTTCATAAGCAAGCCAACAAAATGAGATGAAACAGAAACTTTATTGGAGATCAGGGTTTTCCTGAACTTGGAGAAAAGCCCATCAGCAACAACAGTCAGTGGTGCATGGAGTTCCTATGACAGAGAGAGAATTCTCAGTATAAGGTGAAGAGTGCCGCGATAAGATTGCACTTTCAAAGTGCATAGACAAACTTAAATGGAAGGTATCCCAAGAAGTTGTGATGTGGAGCTGAAGTTGCTGAAGGAATAACTACAAGATATTAATAAAGTGAGATGAAGGTACACAAGGCCCAATTTAGATTTTGGCAATCCTGGACCTTAGATGGCTGAAATCACCAACACTAGCCAGATTCGCTTATTATATTATTTTCTAATGTCATGTAGTACAAGTTTCTGTCCACCTGGATGTTTACATTTGCATTACTATACTATGAGCAAAGAAATCTCTTAATTAAAATACGTAGTGAGGGAGGGAAAAAGAGGAGCTGATACCAAGAGCTCAAGTAGAAAGAAAGTGTTTTGAAAATGATGATGGCAATAAATGTACAAATGTGCTTGATACAATTGATGTATGGATTGTTATAAGAGCTGTAAGAGCCTCCAATAAAATGATTTATTTTTTTAAAGAGTACAATAGGAAACAGCCAAGAACCAACATAGTAGTCCTTGGCCATTTTTCTTTTTTGGTCAGATTAACATGTGCTGGTACTGGGAAATATTTTAGTTTGCAATTTTTTCAAGATTCTCCTACCTTTTTTCTTTCTGAATTAAATAACTGCTTGTTTTATCCTAATGTTATTTCATGTTGAATCCTTCCTTTTTCTCCCTTGCAAGTCCCCTCTGCTTCTCTATGCGTGTACATTTTAAGCTGTGTAATCAAGGTATGTTGGAGAAAGATGAGGTTATCTACAGTCTGCGGGAAACTGATGGTGGTAGCAACAGTACAATTCTACTTGATGTGACTGAACTATGGAATGATGTATGTATTAAATCCCAGTTAATAATCTTTTTAAAAAAGGATCTACAGTCTCGGAAATGCTAGGGTGCAGTTCTACTCTTGAGTCGGCATCAACTCAATGACACGGGGTTTGGTTTGGGTTTACATGATAGATATTACCCCCTCCCATTTTTTCCTGGTACTTTAAAAAAATGTGGTACAGTGAAATAGACAGCATAAAAGTTGCCCTTTAGACCATGATCCGCTGAACAATCCACTCACATTCCTCACACATTCCATCACAATGCTGTGTGATGATCATCACCATCTGCCCCCAACATCTTCTCCTCCCCCAAAGAGAAGGACTCTGGCTATAGTTTACAGCACTGTTACTACAGGGTATTGGTTTAAAAATGCATTTGCACAGCCTGGTAAGACGCCCTAGACTCTAGGGCCTAGAGCAATGTGCTATGATCTACAAGTTCATCAGACAATTTAATAAATGAGAAAATAAGGAGATAACTTTTGGGGGAGGGGAAGAAGAACAAAAATCTCTTAGGAAGAGACAGTTGCTGAAGCTGACCTTGATGTCTCCAGTTTCTTTATCCCGGTACTGAACTCCCGTCACAGCATCATCTTCCTCCAGTAAATGGAGCACAACGCCTTCAATAAACTTTGCACTAAAGGACAAAACAAGTCTCTACTGTGGCACATTTGAATAATTTAAATTAAATCTGACCCAGCCCCCTAAGCCTTATTTAGTTTAGCCTTATAGCATATGCACTTTTGCAAATATTACTGACATCCACAAACTGAAGCATCCTGTGTTAACGTTTGAAATATAATTCTATTGATATTTTCCTGTGTCATTTCAATTAAAATCCACTTATTAAAACTGGACCAAGGATTGTCACAAAAGAAAAAATACAAACATCCACAAGACATTTGGTAAAATGCACAACCTCACTACTAATGATAAAAATACATTTTTAAACCTAAAACAATCACTTATGTCTAGAAAATTGGCAAGTTTCAAAACAAAAGAAGACTGCACTTTGGCCAGAGTTCAGAGGAAAAGGACATTTTCTTTTCAGCATCTTAGAAATAACTTATTCTGCCTAAGAATGATAGCAGCACTGTTGCCAGCTTATTCTAGTAGGCAGTCGCCACTCAACAAACACAACACCTCTCTTACCTCAGAAACCACCATGTTGGAGAATTCTTATTACCAAAAAGGTTTAAAATGCACATGAACTTGCTAAGAGGTTATAAACACTTGTGAGTGCCATACAGTACTAAAGAACCCCATCTGCTTCCGTCAGCATGAGAGGCCGTTCTCCAACCGCGCTACTTACAGAGAACAACAACTCTGACAACTGGGATGTCCAATGAAGCAGTGTCTTATTCAGTTAAAGCAGGGTAATGTCTAACAAACTGTATTCCAATAAACTGCAGCTAATCCATAGCGGGAAGTGCTATGAAAATATGTGCGAACACAGCATGTGCAAAGACAAAAGTTTGGAATGACCAGGAGTGAAAAAAAAAAAATCCTTCATAGAATTTAGCATTATGTGTGGTTTTATTTCCTAACCTATCAACAGCAAGTACATATTACTAATAGAATGACCAAGAAAAGTCTTGTTAAATATAAACTTGATTTTTATCTGAATGTTGGAAAAATAACATGTGGAGAGAACATTTGCACATTCATACACAAAAGGAGGTGGGTGGTGAAAATTTATTTAGAAGAATAGTTCAACCTACTCAGAAGATTCATCGCATAGTTTTAGGGTCTTCTTTCTATCTGGGTGTCTTTGCAGTTTTTCTGTAATGAGAGTATCCTGTGTCCATGGATATCAAGCCCTGTCAGCCCTACGGCGAATTACGTCTTCACTTGCTTTGCAAACACTCAAGACTATTTCAGACATGTGAGGGTTCTCAGACTTACAATTTTCTCAGAGTATTTAAAGACAAGAGGCAAATATAAGTTAATAATCAAAAGCAGCTGCCAGTCCTGTCAGGCTAGATTCTTAGTAGGAATGGACCAAGAATTGTCTCGAATTTATCTTGACTGTGAGTTGAAGGTATCCTTACCACACAAACCGTAACTCAAAAGTAGTTCACACTAACTATTACTCAGTTAAAACAACTGTATTCTCTAAATTCCACCACAAATCTCTGTAGTCAAAAGAAAAATTCTCTAAATACTATTCTCAAAGGCAACAAAGATCTAATACTGTGTTCTGACATATAGTTTTGATGTATTGCCAAACTTCTAAGTCCATACTTAAAACATAGGGAAATTTGTGAAACCGCAATAAATTCATTCGTGTAAATTCATTCACGTTCTACAGCTGGAGTTGTGGTCTCTCTTACTTGGGTTCTGCCATAGCTCTTTTGCGGAGACTCGAGATGAATCGTCCATGATGGAAAGCTCTTCCACTCAGCACTTGATTGTTTTCTGACAGAGGGTAGGGGATCTGAACCTCTGACCTGCTTTCATGATCATGAACTATGTAGCCATTTACAATCTGGGCATCCAGATCTCCCACGGTATCTGTAAATCAATTTGGTTCAAAACAATTAATTTTCCTTATATGCATAGAATTATATTTCACATCAAAGAAGACAGAGGAATTAAAAAAGAAAAATCCCTGCCTTCATAAAGTTGTAATACAGTTTGCAAAATTGGACAACTAATTCTGAAATCTTAATGCTCTAGAGAACAACAGTAGTCTTTGCGAATCTGTAATAGCTCTTATCAGACATGATAAGTGTGCCACATCCAAGCTTGTGTACCACATTACCTTGTGCAAGAAAATGCAATAGGAAAACAGTTAAGCAACAATCTCCTATTGAGGAAACAGGTTCTGTCTCTATGGACATTTTCAAAGCATGAGTATGTGTAGTAAGCCATTATCCACTTATGTTTACATTGTTGACTTGGCGGTTAATCTTACTCAGCCTCTCTGAAGCGCAGGACCTTGCTGAACAATCACTCCTTTGTAAAGCACATTCTTCACTTGCTATCCAGGACCCTGTCATCCCTCTCATTTCCTCTTCCTAATTGGTCCCACTCACCTTCCTGCTCTCAGTACATTTGCGTACCTTAGGGATCGGTTTGGACTTCTTGATTATGTTTGCTAATCTTATTTCAATGCTGTGCCTTCTCTCTTGCTCTCTCGCCTAACCATCTGAACCCTCAGCAAGTTGTACTGGTTTTTCCAGAATCTCACCACTTCCCATCCTCTCCTGCAGTCACAGGCGCCAGGCTCGTCATCCTCCTCTAATACTTTCTGACCCCGCCACCTTATTATTTATTCTCTTTTCCACACCATTACAGAATACTTTCCGATCCTACTTGCAAAATACATGTCTTCTTAAACCTGCCTAGTGAGTTCCCTGGGCGTAGAAGCTAATTCTTACAGGCCCCTACGTCCTCTGGGACCCAGTCTTCCATTAGCCATTTGACCTGCTCTTCATCTCAGTCAACCCCATTTTCTCATTCTTTCACCAAAGTCAGCTCGCTCCTCCAACAGGGCTTTCTCGCCAGATGCTCCCTCTACCAGGAATTGCACACACACACCCCAGGTATCTCCAGGGCTTGCTCCCTCACCACATTCACTTCTTTACTCAAACAACATTTTCTCAATGAGGCCATCCCCAACCACTCTATTTAAATTTACACTCCTCATCTCCCAACCCCCGCTTTCTGATTTTTCTATAAAACTTATCACTAGCAGATATCTAAGATAGATAGATAATAGAAAGATAGATCACTAGCTAATATATATTTTATTTCCTTAACATTGTCTATCACATACACTGGAACATGTGCTCTAATACCCTCCACCACACACAGAATACATGCCCATGCTGGATTTTGTGCGTGTGTTTTGTTCCCTATGGTAGCCTCGGCATCTAGAATAGTACTTACCATTTGTTCAATAACTAGTACATGTATTAAATGAAAGAATAAATGTCCTATCTTTACTAAACTCTTCTCGTGCATCCAGTATCTCCCTTGCTACTGTATTATCTTCATCACCATATAGCTGAGCTCTAAACCTCTCTGTCCTCATATATCCCCTCCCTCTCCCTGCCCTACTCATGTTTTCTACTAATCTCAGCATATTTATCTCCATTGTTTTGCCTAAACAACTCCACTGAAACACCTTAATCTACGCCACCAACAACCTCCAAACTGCCCATCCAATGGCCATTCCTCTATACTCATCTTACCTGATCCTTCATTAGCAAATTCCTAACACAGCTGTCCTGCCCTCTCCTTAGAACATAAATAGTTCCCCCTACTAAAACAATGTCCTATCTTAGAGTCAGTAAAACCAAACATTTTCTTCTGCCATTCTTTCAGTTCCTTCTGAGTCTCTTGCAGGCTTTTCTTCTTCTATCCAACCTTTGTATATCAGTTTCCTGTGGCTTGTTTATTCTCCCTACACGCTCTCCTTGGTTGGTCTCATTCATTGCCAGTTTGCAAATACTACAAATATGCTGACATATCCTAAATGTCTAACTTCAGCCAGCAAATTCTACTTCTCTGAGCTCTAGATTCATAAATTCAAATTAGATTATCTCTACTTTCATGTCTCAACATATTCCCCCCAAATTTCCTCCCACACCTGTTTCTCTCTTGGTCTTCTTCTTCCTTTTTTTCTTTTTCTTTTTTTTTTGGTTAATTTTTTCCCCTTGATCTTCTTAACAGCAAACAGTACCATCATCAATCAACTGCCCCAGCTAAAAACCTAAAAATTGTCTTTGATACTACCCTCTCCTTCATCTCTCATATCCAACCTGTCAGTAAACCAAGCCATTCATGACTGCCCACTTCTTTTTTATATGCCTTGGTACCATGCTAGCCCAAACCACTATCCTCTCTCGTTTGGAAATGAGCCTGCTTAGACATCTTGCATCCAATCTTGCTATCCCATTGGCCCAATCTTCAATCTATTCTCCAGTATGGGTGTACTTAGACATCATTCTACAAATTGAAAGGTGAATAAGTATTTACTAAATGCATAGCTGCTGCTTGAAAGCCATTGGTTGAATGGATGAGCATTGCCTACATGGAAGTTCCAGGTGACAATACTTATTCTAAGAATAGGACAGAATGGACACTCTTCAAATGACAGTTTTCACGCGTCACCACATTCCATGCCCTCACTCAAAGAACTGTCCAGGTCCTCCTTTATTTTGATCACTACCATTTTTTTGTCACTTTGTTATACCTCATTAAGTATACTTCACATCTCCTTACACAATTAAAAATGGGGTTTTGTTTTATCTTTTGCTCTTATGTTCATGAAAATTCATTGGTTATTTTGGACAACTGGGCAACTCATTTGTAACTGGTAGAACATAGTAAAATTTTGTGAATGAAAAAAAAAGATTATCTTTTTTACTAGTACTAAAAGAGTCTTAAAATGTTTGCTTACACCAACTCACTCTTCGGAACATGAACCTACCTTCAAGACCCAGGTCTTTAAGGACATGAAAGCCACCTGGCTGCAGAAATTCTCCAACTATCCTGTCAGGCTCTTTTAAATCTCTCTCAATGACTGTCACCTTTCTTCCATCTCTGGAAAGCACCGACGCCAACGTAGAGCCAAGTACACCAGATCCCACAATGATAACTTCTGGGTCATTTTGAGAAGTTACTACTGTACCTCCTATCGTTGTTTCTGAAACATTCACTCCTTTTTCACGCTGTTTGAAAAGAGAAGAAAAAAATTACTCTTTCCTACATTTTTACACACTTATGGGCTTCTGCACCTTGGAAAGAAGCTAAAATTTAAGTATTACCAACCAACTGACCTTTTAGCTTTTGAATCAAGATACCATCTACATGGCAATGAAAGAAAATTATTGTTTAAATTTAAAAGGAAAATAATCTCAAGAAAACAAATGATAGATTTCTTTCCTAAGCATTTTGAAAATGCTGTGCTACAGATATTTGGAAATCCACACCAGGCCAAATGTAAGTCTAGAAAAGGTATCTTAGAGGGAAAAGCAATTGTTCAATGCTTCATATACTGAGCACCACCAGATGCCAATCACTTAAAACTTCTGCTTTGATTTCCTGTTAAAAGCTTGAACGCGAAAGATTTCTACGATTCACCTTCGTTTTCTCTCGCTAAAGCAATGATTCTCAACCTAATGCCTCGACCCTTTAATACGGTTCCTCATGTTGTGGTGACCACCCCCCACAACCATAAAATTATTTTCGTTGCTACTTAACTGTAATTTTGCTACTGTTATGAATTGGGTGACTCCTGTGAAAGGGTTGTTCGACCCCCCCCAAAGGGGTTGCAACCCACAGGTTGAGAACCACTGCTCTAAAAGTTTCATTTCAACAATCTACCTTCATCTAAAATCACTTTACACTTACGAAGATTTTCAAACCCTGGCTAATGTTTTATCAATTAAGGATCATTCAACAAAAATTCCAAAAGAGTAAAAGACCTCATAATGGCCCTTAGGTATCAAAGTATCTGTTCTTTAACATTTAATGATATATTTGATTTATCCCTTTCCCCACCATCTTTGTCTTCCAACAGTCTGATAAAACTGTAAGTCCTTACATTTTGAAACAAGGTTAAATATTAAATCTCATCACTGCTTGGGCTGAACGCAAAAACTTCTAACTAGGATCATAAAGACCACAAAGTGAAAAAAGTCCTCTTCTGAGATTTTCACCCATCAGAATAGTAACGTCTGTTGGTTTGGTCCCTCTCCTTCTTAATGAACAACTCAATCTTATATTTATCCTTTGGGTGAATCCCCCAAATGTGAAAATATTTCAGATAACCAATTGTAGGGAACCCTAATGATTAAGATAAACGTCATTTGATGGGGTTTTAAAAAAAGAACTCAAGTATAAAAGAGATTACAATGCCCTTTAGAACTTTAATTCTCTTATGATTTTAAGCAACCTGGGGTTGCTCTAACAGATTCCATATGATAGCAACCAACATTATTCACCCTGTCTTCTTTGACCTTAATAGTGGATTGAGACCTTGTCCATTCCATTTTTTAGAATATCTCAGAGAAACACCTTTCTGTCACTTACTAAGGGAAGAAGGCAACTGTTGATTCTCCCCAACAGTATGACCCTAACAAACTTTATTTATAGTACTGTTCTGATCTGGGATCAAGACAAGTCCCCTTGGTCATCTTAACCAATTCCAATAAATTTTTCTAAGTTTTCCCTGTACACACACTTACTTCTGGGAGGAGAACTCTTAGAAGGCTTCAGTCTCTCAGAGCCTGGTCAGTAGAAACAGCATTCATGGGAGCTTAGTATACAACAGATCCCAGCCTGACAACTCCCAGTTAGGAAATAAGCAAAAAAGCCTGAGGCATCCACAAGTGGGACAAATATAGCCTGCTGGTGCCTCCATTCTCCTACCCCAAGTGTGTCGGCACAGCATGATAGCACTGCTGGCCTTCCAGCCATCTTCCAAAGATTGGTGACCCTGAGGAGTGTGAGCGCAGACAACTACCATTCTCAAATTGAGAATTAAAGACGACTTTTGTTTCCATCCCCTTCATCAAGTGTACATCTACTACACCACTAAGCTCATTCTGGACTCTGCAAAGCTCCAGAGAAAACGGCCTTGAGACTGATGACAACGGCTACTATAAAGGGGATTCAAAAAATTTGAGGGGGGAAAAAACCTACTATCTTTTAATTCCATTTTACCACAGACTTTCTAAAGCCCCTTTGTATTTCAATCTAGTTATGGACCAAGCATTTTGCAAACATTAAGCAATTTAATTCCCTACAAGCTTAGAATGGTGCTCACTTAAGAAAAGGCCATTAATTCTTACAGAAATAAAGTTTACCATAAAAAATAAAATAAAGTTTACCAACACCTCGGGGTATTTCCAGAACTCAAAGGGCAAATTACTTCATGGACCGCTCTGACCTAACCACAAACCACCTTCATCCCAGACGTGGCCTAATACCGCACTCTTGCCAGATCTCTCAGGCTGCCATGCCCACACTATATAGCCCATTCTCTACAGTTTCTAGAATGTTCTTTTCAATGAAGTGAAAATCAAATATTGTTACTCCCACATGTTTAAAAAAAAAAAAGGCTCCCGTGCTCCTTGAAAAATGTCCAAACTCCCCTGGCAAACAAGTCCTAACTGAAGGAGCCTCTGAAACCTTTCTCCTAACATCTTTGACCATTGTCCTCCTCTGCTAGGCCTTTGAGTTAGGACTGTCTCTGTACATTTGTTCAAGATCCTACTGAGCCTCAGCTTGCCAGTTGGCTCTTATCCTTTGCCTTGTCTATCACGGCAGCAGTGAACCCACCTGTAGCTGGCTTCCTTCCAGGTTCAGATCCAATCCTAGCCCAAGGATTTAAATGGAAATGGCCGGGGCCTGTTTTTCCACACAGAAAGGGATATTGTCCTCCTTCAAAATGGGCTCCTAACGTTTCGCGTCACCTTTCAGAAACCAACCACTCTTACCAAAGAAACAAATATCCCCAGCCACTCCCAAGAATGTTAAGGCAGTGACCAAGGAAGTGCCAAGCCAAAAGCGCGTCTTTCTTAAAAGAAAATAGATCCAGCTGAAGGAGAACAGTTAACAAAGTCCCTACACTCACACTTCCTCTTGCCTTTTTAACGCACACGGGAAGAAAACTTCCAGTTCCAGGGAGGGCCCCAATCCTAATTTAGGAGCCCTGGTGGCACAGTGGTTAAAGCGCTGGGTGCTAAGCCATTGAAACCCAACCCACCAGTGGCTAAAAGTAGGAGACAGGCCTGTCAGTCGGCTTCCTTCAAGAGCACAGCCTTCCAAACTCTAGCCTACCAAATGCCCACCAGTGGAACTCAACTCCCCAGCGTCTGAAAGCCTCGTTTTCAACGAAGAGCGCGGCCTTCTGCCCACCCTGACTCCAACCTACCCTCCTCGTGTCCACTTGCTCTTTCTTTTCGGATCCTGGGGGCGGTCTGGCCCAAAAGACGCCGACGAAAGGCAAGGCGGACAGAACGTTGGCCAGGGCTGTGAACGGGGCCAGGCTCTGCTGTCGCCCGGGGAGGCCCCCGGGGCGGTAGCGACACCGGTAGGAGAGCACCAGTCCCAGGGACAGGAAGAGCAGCCCACACAGCAGGAGCTCCTTGTTGGCCAAGGTGATGAAGTCCCCGCACTTCTTGTAGAAATAGGTGAAGGTGGCAATGCCCAGAAAGGTCCACATGGCTGCCGACGTCCCTGGTGGCACCGGTCACTGGGGCGCGGCTCCACTTCCTCCCAGGTGCTCTCCTAAAGGGCGGGCGAGGAGAGCGTGTGGAGCAGCGGCCACGCTTGGGAACCCTGGCACAGGCGACAGCAGGCTCGGGGTGACTGAGCATCGGCCGGCAGTAGGGCCGGGCCTGGGCCAGGGCAGTGGGCTGGGCGCGGACCCCGGCGTGCAACCCCTGGCTCCCGATCAGGCCCTCGCCTCCTTCTGGGGACCCATCCTTCCCTTTTCCGGGGGGCCGCCGCGTGCGGTCAGATCCTCCTCCTCAATCACCAGCGGCAGGTGGCCTTCCGGAGACCCGGACGGCGACAATGCCCGGCCACCTCCACCTTCCCTCTCAGACAAAAGATGACCTCAGAGTCCAGGCTCCGCCTCCACGAAGCCCAGCTACTGTCTCGCGTCTTTCCCCGCTGCGGAGACTCCCCAGACTCCCCAAGCCCCGAACCTTCCCGTCGGCGACGCGGCTGGCGCGCTGGCGAACGGCGGGCTCAGGTGAGCTTCCCTCAGTGCGCGGCGGCGGCGGCGGCTCCCGGCAGCCTCCTCACCAGCATCCCTCGCGGGCGGGGCTTCCACAGTAACCAGAGTAACCGCCCCGCGACCCCGCGCGCCTCAGCGCCCCGGCGTCCTCCTCCCAGGCGAGGTACCAGGGGGCGGGGCTCCGGGACGCGACCCCGCCCGCCGCTGCCACTTCCAGCCAATGAGGACGCGCACCGCACGGTAGGCCGAGATGGCGCTATGCTGCGATCAGCCAATCGCAGGCGGCGGAGCCCGCGCGGTGACGCCCGCGGAGGCGCTAGGGCGATGTTGCGTGGTGTGTGGGGTGGGGGCGTGGGTGTTGGGGAACGGGCGGCCCCCTTTTGGTGGGGGTGGGAGTGGGAGGAAAGCTCGGGGTGGTTCTGGAGGGGGCTGGGACCGCGCCTCTGGGTCACTGCCCCAGCCGGCCGCCCTGGGCCCTCCCGGAGGGTCGATGGAACTCCTGCAGAGGAGCCCCCGGTGGCCGCCTGTGGGCTAATGGTCGCCTTTTGCCCCGACGGCATTTACTGCCTGCCTGCGGGTCCCCGACCCAGACTTCCGGTTCTGGGCTTGGGGTGGGTAGAAATCGTAAGAAAGAACTTGCGAGGCATAACCAAACCAACCAGAAAGAACCTGCCTGCCAGGAGAGGAGACAGTGGGTCCGGCGTGACCTTTCCTTCACTCAAACCAGGGCGCTGGCACTGCTCAGGATAAGACAATGGAGAGAGGAGTGGGAGGGGTAGCGGCAGAAAGAAGTAAATAGAGGTGTATCCTAGGTGCCCCAGGGGAGTGGGCTAGGCACCTTGGCAACAGGGGCCTGCAGGGCCTGGGGAAGCCAGCCAGGCCCCTGGAGAGATACCGAAATTGTGTCCTAGACGATTATGGGACAAGCATTCCAGGGGGACGATTATGCAGAAGCCCCAGAGTGAGAGACTGACTCTTATAAAACGAGGAAGTCCCCTAGCACCTAAATCACAAAATCTTCTATCCCACAAATATTTGATGCCTAAGACAGTGATAACCAGAAGGTCAGTGGTTCAAACCCAGGAGAAAGATGAGGCTGCTGCCTGCTCTGGTACAGATGGATAGTCTGAAGCCCTATGGAACTGTTCTACTCTGCCCAGAGGGTCTCCCAGTAGGAACTGATTCTATGACAGTGGGTTTTCAGTACTTTACCTCTCTGTTTGACCAGTGGACTTGCCTTCCCTAAACTCCATGATTCTGGTACAAATCCTGCTTTTACAGCAAAACTGAACTGGGAATTCTTCCAACAAGCCTCCTTTCACCCTCATCAATCACAAAACACTCGGTTTATTCATACTTTCTTGACCATAACGACAGGAGAGTTATGGTCAGGTGACAGGGATGTAGGAGGACTTAGATTCTAGCTGTCACTAACCAGCTTTGTGCCTGGGCAGAACAGTCAAGTCACTCAGCCTCTCAAAACTGCCATCAAGTCTATTCTGACTCATAGCAGCCCTTAGGGCAGATTAGAACTGTCCCTTTGAGTTTCAGATACTTTAAATCTTTAGGAGAGCAGACAACCTTGTTCTGAGGGGTGACTAGGGGTTTGAACTGCTGGCCTTGCAGTTAGTTAGCAGCTCAATGTATAGCCCGTTACACCAGGGGACCATCATGGACTGGATTCCAACTCATAGTGACCCTCTACATGATTTCTGAGGCTAAAACGTTAAGGGAGCAGACAGCCTTCCATGGACTAGTTGGTGGCTTTGAACAGTATACTGACCCTGCACTTAGCAGCTCAATGCCTAAACCACAGCTCCATTAGTGCTCCTTCAACTTCCAGAAGGGACAATTCCCTCTTGAGGTCTAAAATCCTTTCCAGTGCTGCCTTAGAAGTGAAAGTATGGCATCTACCTGATCAGTTTCAGCCCATTCTATGTTTTAATGGATTTTAAAAAAAGAATTTACTAAAACACTTCCACATACACCATTTAACCTTAAAACAACAACAAAAAAAACAACATTGAATTTTAAAATGAGAAAATGAAACCTAAAGATTAAATGGCTTGGTTAAATCACAGCTTGTAAATGGTGAAACCTCTGGTTCCCCAATACTCTTAATTACTAATAACTGCTTTAAAATCCCTCTGCTATAAAACTATAAGATTTTTGATTCTTAGTGTCAACAAATTAGACTATTTGAAACATATAACAATTTTTTTTAAGTTCCAAAAAGGAAATCAGTTCAATGTATGAGAAATCATTTTCCTGAAGATAAATCATTAATGACACGCCTATTGCTGTCTGTGAGTTCCCATATTGCTAAAATGATAGGAGGCTTGAGCAACTGACTCTGGGAGATGACAATGGGAGTATCATGGAATAATTATTACTTGCTGACCTTGTCCTTGATGTATCAATAACACAATATTGTTTATGATGGGGTAATAACTAACTATGCCTACCAGGAAGTCCAATTAATACAGCTGTTATTCAAATGTGCACACCAACCACTAAAGCTAGCGATGAAGAAACTGAAAACTTTACCAACTTTAGACTAAAATTGAGCAAACTTGCAACCAAAACGCATTGATAATTATGATCTACTAGAGTGTAAAAGTTGGAAACTGGAAGATTGCAACAGAAGTTGGAAGACAGGGCTTTGGTGATGGAAACTACGCTGGAGATTGATATAGATTTTTTGCAAGCAAAATTACTTCCTCAATGCAAATACTTTTTTTCAGTGGCATAAACTATATACATGGACCTCACCAGAATACACTGAAACCAAATTGACTACATCTGTGAGACCAGACAATGGAGATGCTCCCTATCAGCAGCTAAAATAAGGCCGGGGAAGTATGTGGAACAGGCCATCAACTGCTTATATTTAAGTCCAGGTTGAAGCTGAAGAAAAATGAAAGCAAGTCTGAATGAGCAACAATCCAGCACTGAATCTATCTCACCTGAATTTAAAGACCATCTCAAGAACAGACTTCATACTTTGAATGCTAATAGGTATAGACCAGATAAAGGTTCGGGTTGATATTAAAAACATCATATGTGACGAATGCAGTCATTAAAAAGACAGAAAAGACCAAAGTGGGTGTCAGAAGAAAATCTGAAACTTGCTCTTGAACATACAGTAGCTAAAGTGAAAAATGAAATTTAAAAAAAGATCAACAGAAAATTTCAGGAGACAGCTGGAGAACACAGTATCCTGCGGTGAGTGAGGGGCGGCCTGCTTGGATCTGCAGGGGCAGGAGCGGGCCAAACCCCGGGTTTACCCACAGCCCCCCACCACAGGGTTCACTTCAAACTTGAATGTATAACTTGCCTGGCTGTCAGGAAGGCCCTCTGTCTATGGCCCCTTGCCTCTTGCTGCTGTCCTGTCCCTGAGTCCTTACAGGTCCCAATCCCAACCCCCACCCCCATCCAACAAGAACAAGACCAAGGGGCAGATGCAGATACGGCATGGATCTGTGGTAGGAGCCCCCTTTCCTGTAGCTGCTGTCAATCCCATGTAGCCCCCTCAGTACTTGTAGAGGCTCCAGTCCCTACGTGCATTATGACACCTGGTCCCTCTCCAGATGGGAAGGGGCCTTGCAGGGGACCCCCTCCCCACCCACCCAAAAAGGAAAATAAACGAGGACCCAAAAACAAGAACACAAAGTAAATCATTACAATGAGATGTGCATAAAGACCCACAGTTAGAAAATCAAAAAGGAAGAACAGGCAAAGTTCAAGAATTGAAGACAAAGTTTAAGCCTCAAGTTGAAAAACTAAAAAATTCTATGGGCAAAATATTGAATGGTGCAGGAAGCATCAAAAGAAGAGGGAAGGAATAAGGAATCATTGAATCAAAAGAACTGGTCAACATCAACTATTATAGCATATGAGTAAGAAATGCAGAAACTAAAGGAGAAAGCCCAAGCTATACTAAAGGCATTCTTGGAAAAACAAGGCTTTTATAGTACTTTATGCTTTAGAATTCCTGAAGAAGGCCATAAAGAATCCACAAGTAGGATAAGCTTGACATTTGTATTGTTACTCCTTTTTTAGATATTTATGAATTACATCACCTGGCCTCAATAATAATCACAATCATCAACTACCATTTATTGGTGCCACTTATGTTTTAATCCCTGTGCTAGATGCTTTGCAAATATGTATTTAACCTGTCATCATTCCTATTAGATGTTAGCTCATCTTTACAGATGAGAAAATTTGAGCTTCCAAATGGTTAAGTAACTTGCCAGAGATCACAAAACTGATGATTTTGCAACAGCTACTGCCTTGCATCTGAATTCTGGTTTTAATAGTAACCCCCCTAAATATAATTATCAAATATTAATCAAACTCTTAGTTGTCTGTGGCAATGAATATTGTATAAATATCCTCAGATAATATTGTTGTGACAAGTTTGGTAACACTTTATAACACATGAAATCTTTGGTTGGTGCAAATAGATAACTTGCTTGGCTGCTAATAAAAGTTGACGGTTTGAATCCAACTAGAGTTGCCTTAGAAGGTCTGGTGACCTACTTTCCAAAAAACTAGCCATTGAAAACCCTAGGTATCACCAGGGGCTTGCTGTAACAACTGGTGTGGTTTTGATTGTGTGTATAACAATGCTTGGGCTGAGGTTACATGAAAGCTCTTAATGTCCAATGTTTTCATCATTTTTGATAATAAATATCCCCAAACACTTCTTGTTTACCTTTATTTTCATTTTGTTAGCTGTTATAGTTTTAATAATATAACAAAAGGACACAATTGCCTTGTCAGTCAGTTATAACACAATCATGAACGAAAGAAAATCCCCATGAGATTGCATCACCCACCAGCTATAGGCCTTTGCAGTAGCTACAACTGGCTCTTTCTGGCTCCACATTCCTAATTTTCATCATTATCATATACTTCATGAAACATATGAGGAGGTACCCAAAGAAAAACTGAATTTTTTTAAAGCTATTTAAATTTTTTTTTTCACAAAACAACCTATCACCTTCAAAATACTCTCCATTACACTTAATACATGTGTCAAATCTGCAATTCCATTCTTACAAAAACATCTTTCAAACTCATCTGTTTGGGTAGTTGACAGCACCTCCCTCATTTTTTTCTTCATCTCTTCTACATCTTTAAATTGCTGTCTTTTCTTGGGCCTCCACTCAAGTACTCCCTCAACACAAGAATACTTTCTTCTAGTAAATTGGCATTCTATGATGCTCACCTTCCCGACACAA